TATGGTGGGGGTGGTGTTGGACAAGCACCAGAGGGAAGAGGGTGTGATGTGACAGCCCAGCAGTGCCAGTATTTGCCACACAAAGTCCAAGAGCAGTAGAGAGGTGCTGCCTTATTTGGACAGAGAGAGAAACCGGACGCTTTTTCATAACATACAAGTCTAAATTTAAAACCTAAATGTGGACATTAAACTAATATTTGCAATACTTGCAGTGTTCTCTCAAGTTTAAATATGAAAATTTGGATTCTGAAGATACGTTTGTGGCCCTTTTGACTCTCAGTGTTAAATAACATAAATAACTTTTTTTTTTAAAAGTATATGTGAAATAATCTGTCCAGCTTAGAGACGAGAGTAATGCACAATATTGGGTTCTAAATTTGTAATTCCTTAGGGATTACGAACTAGTGTTTAAGGAATCTAACATGCATAGAATACCTTTAAAACATATATATATAGTAAAGTTTTTATTTTTTATCTCAATCTAAAGTTGTCCTAATGCCTGGAAGCACTATTTCACATTTCACACAAAGAAAATAAAACTTAATAAAACTTAAACCATGTTTTAAAGAATCTTTGTGTAGAGCTGATCTCTTTATCAAATGTTGTGTTCAAACACAGAGGAGGATGTTACACGTTTGACGAGAGAGAGAAAGGAAGAAAAAAAAAGGAAAAAAAATTCAATTACCATTTGCACAGTGGCTCACACATCAATTTGCTTCATCTGGACTGGAGCCTTTTTAGACCAAGTTTAAAAAAAACTTGGGTTGGTCTGGAAGTCCCAAGTGATGGAACTAGATTGTAACTACAAGAACTACTTCTGGTCATCCTTAAAACTCAAAGTCTCAGGCAAAGTTACATGCTGTCAAGCTGTAAAGCCCATATCCAGGAAAATAATACACATTTACCACGATTGCACTATGATAAAGAGATTATTGCATTTTAATATATGACATCTTGTGCCATTATTGAATCTATCAAAAACACAGCAATATGGGAAGTTAACATATACACTAAGTAGTTGATGAATTGTAATAGTGTTTCCAACATCATAAGACAATAACTCATTAGCAATACCTGTACAGCATAATACACTAGGACCTTTCCCATTGAAATTAGTGGGTTGACACAGGTTTTTCAAACACAGGTCGACCTGCTAACAATCGGCCTTTGGCTCCCTTCTCTTTGGAACCTGACCCCCCCTGGCATGCCTATGCGTGTCTGTTGACACCATCACGCTGGGTTAGCATCGATGTTGTTACCAGTGTGACAGAAATCGGGAAAGTAAACAATCAAGGGCAACATGTTACAAAGCCAGGGCGTAGTAAGTGTGCCTTATTGTTTGGCTCTTTTATCTGTCCGAATCCCTCTGACGCAGCGCCACGTTTATCGAATGTAAGCAGTTATTTTGGCTCGTTAGATCAGACACGACTGGCGCATTGTGTTGACGTCTGTTGGTTGCACTCAGTGGTTTTATGTAAAATTAGCACATCAACCCGGTTCTGGTGTTCCCACTGTATGTGGATCGGAGCAGAGGGTCAGTGAGCTGTTCGCACTGCCACTAAAAGTCTAATGTATCTGGATTTAAGCGTGTTTTTAGGCCAGTGGGAAAGGGGTATATTAGAATATCTTAAGGAAGCAATACATGAAATTTCAACACTGGTTGAACGTTAGTCATTTCTTGAATGAATCTTGTTTCTTACAATACAGCACCAGTTTATTTTGCTGAGTCACTTATTTCTGTAACACTGGTGTTGATTTTTGTAAGTATGCTGTTGGAGAGGTTTGGGGCACAACAAAAGCAGTTATTATTTACTGACAATTAATATTTAAAAAAATTTCACAATTTCCTGAATGGTGATTATCCATAAAAAGTTGGAGTTTAGTTTTCCTGTCTGACATTTTGGTGCATGATTTAGATTTTTAGACCTTATGTATTTTATTCTAATGAATGTAAATTGAAAACAGAATAGTTGATAGTTTATTTAAAGAGGTACCAGGTTTAATTAACAGAAAATTTACATAATTCTCCCCTTTTATGCACTGATGCATCCTGTATGTCCAAACCTGCTTCTGATTTCTTCTGAACTCAAAACAAGTTCATCAGTGTACTTTTAGGTGGATTTTTATGTCACACAGTTCAAACAAACTAGCAAACTAGTTTAGATTGAATGCAAGTGACAAAGAGGGGGAGCAAACAGGAAGAGATGTGTACAACAACTGGCAGCAAGGGAGGGGATGGCGCCCACCCTACCAGTCACCAGCCCCTTGAGCGGGCACCATGCAATATTCATCCTCAGCCAGTCAGCCAGCAAGCCAGGCAGCGAAACCGGCAGCAATCACCCCAAAGGTGCTTCTCATTCCTCTCTACTCCAATCGGCTTCCACAACCACACCGCCTTGTCTCAGTGCTTCCTTTCAGTCAGATCTGCGTCTGTCAAACTGTGCAGTGACGGCTGAAATCTGATCTGAGGGGGCCCTCTCAGAAACCCTCCCACTCACTAAGGAGCAAATGCACCATTAAATATGCACATTTTAGCAGTTCATCCCGTTTAACTAATGCATATGCATCATACCTCCGGGACTAAGAAATTATATTGCAAGTAATATGGAGTATCCTTCATCACATATACAATTTAGATTTCTTCAGGAGGAAGCTGGTGAGATTTTTTCGCTTTTTTTTTTTCTCCCTTGCTGCCAAGAAAACTGAACCTTAGGAAAGTGTGAAACAGATACAGGACTTGTTGAAAGGCACCCATCTGGATGCTGCTCAGACAATCATCTACATAATCTAACTTTTCTCTCTCTCCTCTTCTCCATCTCCCATTAAATGTGAAATCGGTTCAAACAGTCTCTGTGTGAGTGGAAAAAAACAGCAAAACATGATGCAACATAGAAAGTTCACTGTGCCTCTCCAACCCAAAGCAAAAAAATAAGTCAGGCTAGAATTAACACTGATGTAAACTGCTAGAAATAGATTGAAAACCAGGGAGCGAAATCATTAAGCCAGAACAATAAACCATAATCAACTGCTGGGAGATCAGCGAGAGAAAAACAGGCCCTGTTTGGTGTTTGCATAGGGGGAGTGTTGCCAAAGTCAAATTAATTATTAGAGCTTTTATCTGAGGTTCTTCTGTGTGCAACCCAATTATCTTTAATTTTGCAATTACAAATCTTAAAATAAATGAACCCCCTTGGCAATTCTAGTGTTAATGTTGCCTTGCCCTTGCATGTGAAAGAAAAAACAACAACCAGTACTGGCCTATTTTTAGTTAGCTGCTGTTTTTTTTTTCTTCCCAAAAAGAAACCACGTTTACTCTAGGGCATATGGATGAACCTCTTTGTTTAAAGTCTATTCAATACTTATGGAGGCAAAAACATCCTCCTGTAAGGAAATCAATGTGCCTGATGTTCGAGGGCGGTATTAAAACCCAACAATGACCACATCTGCACAGAGCAAGCCGGGGTTGTATCGAACAGAGAGAGGCATGCAGGAAGGCCAGGCGCTGCCAACCTCCTGAGCTCTGATCAATACCAACAACTCGACATTCATCCGCCGCCGTCTATCTCAGAAGCAGGCTACAGCGGTGCGTGGCATGATGAGACTGAAGGGTGCATCTTCACTGATCCAAAGGGGGAAAAAATTGCTTATTTGCTGTTTAAATTGTCTTCGAGTATAAAAAGAAGCAACTCATCATAAAGCAAAAAATTAGAAACACTGCAAATGATCTTAGTTCATCATTGGTGAAGTGTGCATTAAATTAGAGATGCATCAATATTTATTTTTCCAGGCAAATAGCATTGCCTGCATTTCTTTTAGACTGACCTGCAGATTTTAAATATTAAAGGACAATATGTTGTAAAGGAATAAAACATGGGCAGCAAGTGTTCCTCTTAGACTGAGGATGTAGTTTCTAAATCAAAACGAAAATGCAGCAACACCAAAATCATCCTAATTTCACAATCAAAACCTACCCCTTGTTTTTAACTAAACTCAATGTAAAGTTTATCATAGTTCATGTTTAATATCAAGGTTCTTGATTTTAACAGTAGTTTCATGCCATTTAAAGGCAAACAAATAAAAAAAATCAGCAGTTTTAAATCTTTAAATCAGGCTTTGTTAGCTACTGAAATATGTTAACTGTTACATGATGGCTGGTTTTGAGGATTAGTTGACCGAGGCGGAGTGTTTCTATCAGCATGTCAATATCACAGATTTTTGATGTAGGTCGATATAATCTTTTGGCTAATATGGGATATCGGGATGACAGACAGAATATAGGAAAAGCTGTCAGAAAACAGATAGTAAAAAACAGCCAGCACTGACCAGAAATTCCTGCAGCTTCTTCTGTCTCGTCCTTCCTTTAATTCTTCTGAAACATTCAGCTGTTGTAATAATGCTGCACACGTCCTCTGTTGTAATGTCCTGTCACTAACTGGCTGTCATATAGAAAGTTAATCCTTGATTAGCTAAAGTGAATTAGCTAATCAAGGGTTAGCTGATCTAGGCAGCACACGGTGGTTGAATACATAAAATTTTGTATTGAAAGGGGCCAATTTCTCAGTGTCTCAATTTGATAATCAGGTTAAAATATGTTATTTGTTTCCTACTTAGAACTTCAGGGGCACATGCATCTGTTTTCTATGGACTAATTATGTTGTCCAGGCGATGCAAAGTGCTGATCACTGCAACATTTGAACCCCTTAACTTATTTAATAATTCAACTCGGAATATAATCCAGTCTTAGTAAAGGAACACTGTGGTACTGACTTTTGGGATTTCTGAGCTACATACTAATAAAAAAAAAAAGCTAAGCCTTAAATATGCAAACAAATGTGTGAAAACTAAGTATTTTTCCGCTTAGAAAAGTGTGACCCTTCTACGGCCACAAACCAGACCAACAAATTAACCAACAATCAACCTACAATGATCTGTGGATTTCTTGCATTTTGTTTTTTTTTACTTTAGAACTATGAGCCTTGAGAGTCTTTGTTTATTGTTACCTGAGGTTGAAATACTGGCACGCCTGCTTGTTGTCCTTGTGGGTGCATGTCCATATCCATGGTGCTAGGAGCGTGATCCTGTACACCTCTGGAAAAACACAAAAAACAATTCCTTTAAAAATGATACAAAGCTTTGGCAATGTACAGCAATTCAAGTCAATCTCCACTGACGTTCACTGCCAGACTAGTTAGTGATTGCTGGTGAGATTTGGTTTCAGCAGAACTTGAGCCAACGTCATTGCTATCGATTTGACACTCTTTGTGTCTCCTCAAGTTACAACATGGACAAGCTACAACAGCCACCAAAGGTAACCTGAAGGAAAGATAGTAATGCCTCACTGCTTTCAGCTGACATTTCCAAGGAAACAAGCTGTTTCATCAGTAACTGGTTTAAGCACTTTCGATATTTCTTTTTTCCCCCGAAGAGAAATGCATGTCAGAAGGGTGAGTGAGGAGCATTTAGGAGTATGTCATAGTTCTGTTTAATGGCATGTTTGGGCATGTCACAAAGGGGCAAACTAATTGCGCAAGAAAGCCTGCAACCAGATGCTTATCTTTCAACAGCACATTAAAAAATAACTGGTACCCTAATATGGCACGTGGTTTCAAAATTAAATTCAGTTGAAATTCAAGGATAGTCTTGGATTATCTTGACTACACCATATATATACATTTTTTTTTACTTATAAAACATTTATTGCCATTTTGTATACACAGAGTGTATACAAAGCGAAATTTTGTTTTGTACAGCTCTCGTGCCATTTCCATTTATTAAAGTGCAGCAGTGATATAATATAAAAACTATGCAATGCTAACAGATAACAATTAACAGATTCTAGATTGCAGGATGCAGCATTCCACATCAACTGAGCCACCTGCAAGTAAACACATTCAAGGTGTTATAGCTATTGGTTTTCTCTAGAAAAGTGAAAACATGCACAGACAGAGGAATTACATGGAAAAATATCAAACTTTAAATGAACAGGAAGCAGGGATTTAATAAATGTTCAACTGGTGAGTAAATGGTTACAAGATTTATGAGTGTTTGCATAATGTGGTCCATCTAACCAATACTGACTAATAATGATAAATACAGTTCTCTCTGGTGTGTTGTTTTTAATAAAGACTCGCATGTAAGAAGAAAAAGAAAAGACAATACAAAGACAGCAAAAGTGAACCCACAACAAATAAGAACTGCAATCATAAGAACAGGCAGAATCTGGATTTAAATTGCCTTGGCTGAATCTTTAATTACATTATTTGAAATTAAATGTATTAGTTTGAAAAGTAATTTCAACGCATTCAATAATTTGAAGATGAATTAATTTGCTTGTAAAATGTATTTTGTTGTGTTTAAAATTGTATTTAATGCATTTTTACTTGCAGTTTTACAAGTTCTATTTCAGCTCAAAAATGAAGTATCTTTGTTTAAAACCTTTTTCAAAAACGGTCAAATTTGGGGATTGACACTTTACATGATAATAAAACATAATAATACCTTATAATTTCCTAGAAAGAGATGCAGCACATGTAAATAGTAAATCTCAAACATAAAAAAAATAAATGCAAGATAGGCAGAAATTTTATTTTATGATTATTGATTTAATTTTATGCAGAGGCTTTAACTTTTATACAATTTTTCTTAATTTTTTGTTCAAAGTTATATCAATAAATAAATTTTTTCTTTATTTTGATAGATTGAGATAATTCTTCTCAACCCGTTTCTCTTTGTCCCGTTTCCTACTAAATGGGTAACAAAATACCAAGTGGTTCTCAGAGCAGCATAATGTTCTTTTAACACTCAATAAAAAAAAAATGGATGGATTTACAAGTGAAACTCATCCTCTCACAGCAAATAAATTTTAAAATGCAGCTATTTTCAAAAATAAACATGGTGTTATACCAAACTAAATTACATCGGTTTCGGGGGTTTGTTTGGTTTTTTGCTTCAGAAATAATTATTAGTGACGACTGCAGAAACTAAACATGTTTCTCAGTTCAAACATATTTCATTTATAAATGTTGAACAGCTGACAAAAGTTCCAATATTACGATCTACTTATAGTTGCATCTTAGAGCCTCAGCTGAAATTGTGGTTTTCAAACCATGTTAAACACATTTTGATGCAGAGAAAAAAAAAAGACTCAATATTCAATAATATCTAATAGGTTAAATAGTTTTTCTTTGTTTTCACCAAGTGTTCCTGGGGTCACAGAAAACATACTTTTTAAAAATAGCCATTATTAGCATTAATTCTACAATCAGCGTGTGCTCATATTTATCCATTTATTAAAATAAAAAAAAGACTCAGAGTTCCATTACATTGGGAATTTCCCTTTTAAAAGGCCTATTTATACTAAATAAATTCAGTGTGAGGAAGTGAGCCAAGGGAGGAAAACAAAAATCATTGTTTTCCATGCCACCAGTGACAGTGTAAACAAACGCTATTTTCTTTCCTGTACATAATGTTATGTGAGATATAAGCTGAAATAAGGCATTTTAGTCATTTAAGTATGGCTACAAAAAATATATATATAATACAAAAAATGTTTAAAATGTTTTTAATAGGTCTCCAGAAAACTTTCAAAATTTGCCTGGAGTAGCACAATGCTAATCTGACTGGCAGTGAACAGCAATGGGTGGGGGAGGGGCAGCTAACAAATTTGGGTGTTTGGGAATATTTCACATAACAAAAACAGTGACAGTGTTTAAAATAACAGACCACGACTTATCACACTTATTAAGGTATTTCTGTTTGAAAACTTTTAAAATGATAATTCAGCAGCACCAGCAGGGTGAAATAAGCAGCAATTATTTGCTTTTTTGAGTGTGTTTTCCTATAAAGAATACAACTGAAAAAATCTATTAAAATCTATTAAAAAATTCAAAGGGAAAACAACCTGCAAACAAGTGTAATTATCAGAATGTTTGATCATTTTGGCAAAAATCTAAATCTGTGTTCCTTTTCAGCTTTAAATAGAAGTAATTCAATGTAAACATTTAGTTTTAATTTCCTATTAATACACTCACACCATAAAACCAGGGTATTTGGAGGCAACTTCTTCATTCCATGCTTCTGAAGTCCATTTAAACTGATTTAAAACTGTACAATATATCAAATCGCAGCTATCCTCCAAATTTTTGGTCTAATGTAGCACTCAGACGGTGTTAGTTGCAGGCAATATTTGGTAGAATATTCCAATTCAGGTGCGATAAATTCACATTCTGCATGCCAGAAGAATATTTGGTCAATTGACTTTTTTTTGCCACCGATGCAAAAAGCTGATCCATATTTTAGTGGTTGAGATGCTTAAGGTCATAAAAAATTGTAGGGATGTTAGGATGATGGAAAACCAGAGAAGAATGAGGAAAATGGGGCTTAATCCCAATCACTGTCACCATCGCAGTCTTCAATACCATCCTAATAAGGAAATACCTAATTCAGGCTAATATGCCATTTAATGCTCTGAAAAAAATTATGAAGTTCCACAAAATGCAATTTCAAATGTATGCAATGTGTTTTTCTCAGAGCTATAAAAACATTTATTTCCAAATTTGATGACGGAAACATGAAATGTGAGGAAAAAAGAAATAAGCAGGCCACAGCAGGGATGATGAAGGACACAGAGCAACAGATGCACAACTGAGAAAAGTGCTGGAAGAAGGAAAAGGGTACGATCATAACCCTCATGAGTTTGTGGTCCTGAGAGAGACAAAGCGGGGCTGTGCACCACAGAGGCTGGCGCTGGCTTTTGCTCCTCTTTAATCCACATTTCCTGCATAATTCATTAAAAACAGGAGAACAAGAAAAACCCAAAAGAAAGAGAATGATGATGATAAAAAAGGTGGATTGAGGCTAACTGGAAGAGAGTGTGTCAGTAGAAGGGTCCTGGCATTGTTCGCTCTAAGAAGAACTTTGCTAAATCAGCTCGTAATCTGGGGACAATAAATATAAAGACATACTGACTAGCTCGGCTTTGAGGAAGAGAAAGAGTGAAGGGCAAGTAACGGAGTGAACAAGAGAGGAAAAATGCAATGTGACACTATCAGGCCTGGGCGTAGGATGGGAAGGAATCAAAGCCACCTTTGAGGAGCCAGAAGAAGACGGCAAAAGTGCTGGAAGAGTGGTGTCCATGATTACAAGAAATGGAGAACCTTTGAGTCTGGGCTCATGAAAGCCTACCCCAGGCCTCCTCTCAAACCCCTGCCTGACTAACGCTGATGATACACAAAGAGAAAAAGAGACAGAGAGAGGAAGAAAGCCTCTAATGATGGCGGGGTCCGGATACTACAGAAGCGGCACACTTTTCAATTCATTTTAATCACTATTCAAAATCATTAGCCCAAATGTGCAAGCGCTCGTGTTCATTGGGCCATGAGCTGAGAGGGAGACCGAGAGGGGAAGAGGACCAATTACACCTCAGCATGCTAGCTAGTTTCTGAGGTCTTTTACTAGGATGGTCCAAGAATTGACAGAATAGAAAATGAAGAGCGGATATTTTTCACTGTCGCTCAATCTATGAGAAAAAAAAGAAAAGAAAAAAAGAGGAAACAGTCAGTGATGAAAGAAGAAGTTCTGAAACAACTCTGAAAGCCAAGTCAAACAACTCATCCTGATGCTAAAATCTGCCAAACTTTTTTTCATAAGAGTATTAAAGAACCTTAAACAATCAGAGGATGGCTCTTTTAAAATTTCTGTTTATCCTAAAGATTCAACCTGCTTTTACCAAATGTAGCTTTCCTTGAGTAAATCTGCCAATAAACATTTATACTGGGAGCAGATGAAACATCACACCCTGTGTGGGACAGCAGCTGATGTAAAACAGCTTCACTATTTTAAAATCAGAAACTAAAGACATTCAGAGTTAATATTTAAAAAGTCTTTAGCATGTTATTATTAAGTAGCGTAGTTAGTATGGTCATCTTAGAGTAACTCTTTGGCAAAATCCCAAACCAGCCCTTAAGCACTAACCCTCTATTTGTGCGTTCCCATGGAGGGTGCGCCACTTAAGGGCCATCCCTAACTAGTGGGTAGGGCGAGTGGACCGTGCAGCCCTTAAATAGCTAGCCTTCATCAGTGCAGACTCC